AGACGAGCACTGTAAAAGATTGGACAATTCACATGAGGAGAGCGTGAAATTTATCACGCAGATCGTGTTAATATGTCCATTACGTACTTAGATCTGATTCAAGTAGCCTTAGAATATGGTTTTGAAGTGTTATCTAGCAGTGCCTAGAAGTCGATTTCAATTATAGTCAACTTTGACGAAGATTTTGACAATGTGTAATTGTAAGAGTTCATAGACGCACCATTGAGCTGATGTAAGTGACACTGCTTTGCTTTTAATATAATTGCCAATGGACTTCTGCATTAAATTTTCCTTTCACGGTCTCCATATGAAGGGTGTTCTTATAGTTTGAAGCAACTTAAGGTCTAAGACTTGGACTTTGGAGAGCTGCTCTTTGTTTGAATGTGTCAAGGGTTTTACAAATTTCGCACATCTTCTTTCCTTCGCATATGATGTCATTTTTTTCGTTTATATTCTAATCATTTCGACACTGCTCCAGGTTTACATTGTGTCGGAATATTAAAATCCTATTTTTTTTGTTCTACAATTTACCTTTTGTTCGGTTACTTCCTTAATTTCATTATGTCCACTTTTTACAAACCAGTTCATTTTTAACGAAAACGCCGTTCTGTACGTCTGGCCGAAGCGCAAGGACTTTGTGAAGGACTACGTCCCGGAGTGTCCCACCTGTCAAGAGGTGAATAGTGCGAACCACCTTCCTTATGGTTTGCTCCAACTTCTTCCTATTCCTGAGGATCGTTGGCAGTCCATCTCGATGGACTTTATCGGCCCCCTTCATCCTCCGACCCCCCGCGGTCATGATGCTATCCTGGTCGTCGTCGACCGCCTCACGAAGCGTGCACGCTTTGTTCCGTGCCGCTATGCCATTAGTGCACGTGAGGTCGCGAACATTATGTTTGACCGAGTCGTGTGTGACCACGGCTTACCTCTGAGCATCATATCTGACCGTGACCCGCACTTTACCAGCCGATTCTGGCGACGGCTCCACGAGGTATATGGCACTCAGCTCCGCTTCTCCTCGTCTTACCATCCATAGACTGATGGTCAGACCGAGATCACGAACAGGACTCTCGGAGATATCCTCCGAAAGATTATTCGTGACGACCAGCAGTGGGATCTTCATCTTGCCCACGAGGAGATAACCTACAACCACGCCGTCTCGCCAGCCACGGGGATGTCGCCTTACTATTGCGACCTCGGCTATCACCCTCGTGTTCCCGCGGACTTTCTTCGACCGTCACAGATGCACCCCGACACGAGTTGTCCCTTGCTAGATGATTGGGTTGCACACATGACGTCGATCATGAAGACTGCACATGAGCACATAGCCGCTTCCCAGACTCGCATGGCAGCACGTGCGAACCGATCGAGGATGGATCATCCATTCAAAGTCGGTGATGACGTGCTTATCGATGCCCTCCACTTACAGCTCGAAGGGGACACGCTTCACAAGTTTCGGCGTCTCTTCTTTGGCCCATGCCGCATCCTCCAGGCCGTCGGTTCTGATACGGCTTCTAGCCCGGTCAGCTTTCGTGTGAAGCTGCCCGACTACCTACGCCGGGCTCGTGTGCACGATGTCTACCACGTCTCGTTACTGCATCCTTACCGCCGACCGTCTGAGCATTTTGCTGGACGACCATACGAGCGCCCTCCACCCATCATGGTGGACGGTCACGAGGAGTTCCTCGTTTCAGACATCATTGGTCGCCGAGTCACCGACGACAACCCTCCCCACGTCGAGTATCTCGTACGTTGGAAGGGTTACCCTGATGAGGAAGCTACATGGGAACACCTCGAGCACTTGCAGCACACTCGCATGTTGGTGCGTGCCTATGACCGTGCTCGTCGTGCTGGGTTCACTGCTCCTCCTCAGCCCACGGACCCTCCTCTTCCTCCCTCGGCTGAGGAGACCGCTGAAGTCGAGCCTGGTCCATCTGAGGCAGACCTTCAGCAGCAGCCGGATGCTTCTGAGCGTCCACAGCGCACTCGTCGTCATCGTGCTCGATACGACGATTGACTCTGACTTACCTTCCCACGTCTTTGACTTCTCAGAACTCCATCCACATCAGTTTTGCTACTTCAGCTCGTCGATGTTGCGGCTCTTCCTCGACGACATTCCGGACTTCTCATCGTGGACGTCATCGGCAGCTTCATGGACTTCGTCACGATCATCTCTGCCTACTTCAGACGTCGCCACTCTCTTACCACTCTACCGTGTACAGTACCCTGCTTGTGTCGCATGATGGTCTCCCTTTAGCCGGGTTCCTCTGAGTTGGGCTCTCCCTTGGTATACGCATAGGCATCGGGACCGTAGCGTTGCTCGGGCTTCCCATCTTACGGATCTAGCTCCGACTTCCCTCACTTTGGGAGTCATTTGCATGATTCCCTTACCCATCATCTTTCTACCCTTCGCCGGCCCTCACACCCTAGTTAGGCAGCCCCGCATGCTTCATCTAGGTGCGCCCAGTCTACCAGGCTCCCTTGTTCCCTTGCATGGTCGACCCCCATAGCGGTCACCCCTTAGTCGAGCATTACCCGCCCTGATGGTCTATCTGTTAGGGTCATTGGTTCTGTTCGCTCCCAGTTACCTACCCTCATTGAGCCTGATGACATGTGTTTCCCCCTGTCACTATGTGTGGATGCCCTTAGGAGTTTTCCACCCCTAGGCTGCATTCGCCACCCTCAGAGACCATCCCACCCTTTGGTTTGCGACACACTTCTCCTGTGACATATGGTTGACTTGTTGTTGCTTTGTTGCTCTCAGACTGAGGCTACTGCCTCTGATATTTCTAGGATTTAGCTGTTCTGCTTTTGCTGTCCTTAGGACTTATACACTAGTCAGTTGTTCCCAAACTGAGGCTACTGCCTCCAACATTCTAGGATCTAGTTGTCACTACTTTCTGCTTTCCTATGACATGTATGCTAGTTAGTTGTTTTTGCTTTCCTAGGACATGTATGCTAGTTAGTTGTTTTTGCTTTCACTTAGGCTGTTAGCTGTGACATTGCTGTTTTGTGACATTTTCTATCCTAGGTTGCATCGCATGGACTCAGCATCGAGCTTGCTCCGCATCCTATACTACTCAGGTTTTCTTTTTCTTTGGTAGAGTTCCGCTTCTTGGCGGAAGCGTGTTTGCATCTAGGCGATCCATCACAGGTCGAGGATCGTGTAGCGGACCTCTGGTTGGCCTGTGAGACCCGCCCCTTGGCCTGTTCTCACAGACCTGTGTTCTATTCGGGGGCAGTCCAGTCCAGTCCAGGCCGGTACCTCTGTCGGTACCAGCCAGTCCAGTCCAGTCCAGTCCAGTCAGTCCGTTGGGGTATACCCCGGCAGTTGTCTGTTTCGTGATCATTCTTCATTTGCACATTTTGGATTACGTGCGTTGGAGTCTTGCGTGGGGAGCTGCGCTGTGCATCTTGCTCCCCCCCTTCTTCCTCCATCTCCACCTCTGTCACTAGCGGAGCACCACACCTGGTGGGTCCGCTACAACCGCTATTTCAGCCCAGTGAGCAGCGAGTTACTAGCCGGTAACCTAGAGACCCAATGACTTTCTTTTATAACGCCCATGGGCGCCGTGCCCCCAGTGTACAGAACGGGGTTTCAAAACCCTACATTTTGATAATTTGTAATTCAAGAAAAGAAAAAAAAGAAAAAGGAATAATTTAAATATGATAAAATAAATAGATTAAATCATAGAGACCGAGGACCTCAACGGTCATAGTGCCCGTAACGCTATCTGCCGTCAATCACAATGCCTCCTTATTTTCGGCATGAAGCCACCGCAGACTCAACGCATCGATCCCATAACGGGATATCAATCGGAGTTTTCCTGTTCTCAAAACAGATGTGGGCCTTACCCTTGATGGGTACCTGCTTCCGATGGTAAGGAGGGGGCTTATGACCTTCCACAGAAGGTGATAAGCATCCTACCGAAGCGGCCGCGGGTTACCCCTCTTTGGGCCTCCACTAACACAGTGCTCGGCAGGTCGTTCCTGCGGTACAATAGGACACGAAAGGTTAGTCAGCGTGGGCCACCAGTTCACTATCATGATTCATAAGCGAACCTTTAGCTCCCCGCGAAATGACAAAAAGGGAGAAATGGTAATAATAATAATAATAATAATAATAATAATAATAATAATAATAATAGTAGTAGTAACAATAATAATAGTAATAATAGAGAAAGGGAAATGACACTTCAAACTCCCCTACACCTTGGCCTCACTAAAACCATCAGGCTTCGAGGCGCTAGGACAACGACCCAAATCTACGCAAGGATCCGAAGCTCCGTGTTGAACTCCAATTTTTCTCCTTTTCTTTTCTTTTCCATTGTTTTTCTTTTTTACTAGCAATGGCCATTGTCACCGCACCTGCAAGGGCCCGGCGCGCGGATGAAATCGCAATGCCAACTCTCACTATCACACCCCTGCACCTAGCCCAGATCACGACCATCGGGGCTTGACGCGTGGCTGAGTAGACCGTGCTACCTCCTTTTCTATCTGGACAAACCCGATACCCACTTCAGCTATAAGCTGGTCCGCTGTAAAGCGGGGCGCAGAGCCTGCGTGGTACCATTGGAAAGCCTTGTAGCGGGGTCTGTCAATCCTGCACGACTCTGCGCTGATGCCGGGTTTGCAGTGAATGTATGCACAGGCAGGGATCCGGTACGCAGCAGTGAGTGGGCAGATGCCTGACATGCAGTGGAGGGCCGAGACATCGCGCCCTTGCCCTCCGACAACGTGACCTCCTCCTACCCCTCGTGTGACCTCCTCCTACCCCTCGTGTGACCTCCTCCTACCCCTCGCACGCCCCCCTTCTCCCCCTCACACGACTTCCTCCCCCTCTTCTGACCTCTTCCTCCCCCTCACACAACATCCTCCTAATCCTTGTGCGACCTCCTCCCCCTCACGCGTCCTCCACCCACCTCCTCATCCCCCTCGCACGACCTTCTCCTCCTCCTTGTCGCGATGTCTGCTTCCCCCTCACATGACCTCCTCCCACCTCTCTTCCGACCTCCTCCTCCTTGTCGCGACGTCCGCTTCCCCCTCGCACAACCTCTTCCTCCTTGTGCGACCTCCTCATCCCCCTCGTTCCAACCTCCTCCTCCCCCTTGCGCGATGTCCTCCTCCCCCTGGCAACCTCCTCCCTACATCCTCTCCCCCCTACATCCTCTCCCCTCCTCCATGAATTCTCGTCGCCTGCCATGCTTATCGTCCTCCTCCTTTTCGTCCCTCTTTCTCCTTTTGTTCCATCCTCCTCCTCCTTCCTCCATTCTCATCGTCCCCTCGCTCCTCCTCTTTTTCGTTGTTCCTCCTCGTCCTCGCTGCTCCTCATGCTGCCTCCTCCGTTTCGATCGGCCCAAACATGCTTCTCCCTCTTCATCCTCCCTCTTTCTCCCACCCTTCTTGCTCTGAGCGCACACGTGCCACATGCCCCAAATGCCTTTCTCCCTCTTCCTCCTCCCTCCTCCTGCATTGATCCTCCCTCCTCCATCACATCTTTCCATCGCCGCCCGTTTCCATATCGACACGGCCCTCGGCCGGCACCATGGACTGGCGGGAAACAGAACTGAATGGGGGGGTTGAAAGAAAAACCGTGGCAGCGGGGAACAGGACTTTGTGTCCTCCCGACACTGCAGAGCGGGGCGTGTCGCGTGGAACCGCCACACTGAATTTCCCTCACTCCCGCCTGCAGTCCCACCACGAAATGCCGCGGCCGATTTACCTTGCACACCGAATTTCGCTGGGCCCAGCGGGAAGTGTCACACTGGGGCCAGCCGGGCCCTTTGCATTCTTTAAGAGTATAGGGAAGCTATATTCTTCTCTCATATATCTCATCTTCTTGCTAATACTCACCTATCTCATCCTCTCACTAATATATGTATAGTACGGGGGAACACCAACCAACCCGGATCTCTCCCCAGCCCACAGGGTAGGCTAGCATTCGTTGACCTCGAGCTCGTTATGTATGACATGCGGCCTCGCTCCACTACTCTCCACATGCACAGAAGACAAAAAAATATGGCAGTGTACATTTGGAATGGAGCGAGGCTCATGAACTTGGTCTCTCTTGGTCTTACCTCGTAGGTGGACCAAGTCCAAAACTTTTGGCCGGGAGTTGGGAACCGCCCCCGCTGAATCAGACGTCACTTTTTATATTATCATTATTATGGTTGACGTCATAATACCTAGTGGCCGAGAGCAACGTGGGGAAAACTTTTTTTTTTTTTTTTTCACTTGAAAGCTGCCTTCTCCTCATCAGGGGACAGCCATATATTGGGTCTCGCTCCACTACACTAGACTCTAGAAAATAGTCTAGAGTCCATCTAGAGTTGTCAGACTCTAGAAAACAGCAAAAAAAAAGTAGGCTTCACTCCACTTACACTAGAGGGCAACACTCTCGACAGACTCTCTAACACTCGAAAGTAGCGTCTAGTGTAGTGGAGCGAGGAAACCACTGGCCAAATCTGCAAATTGATCATGAATATTTCACTACAACATGGAAAGATACATGCGGTCACACTCTAGACTGTCACAGCAGCTGGATTCCTCAAAGCAACTCGGCCAGCCTGGTTTGTCCACCCAGACTTGCAGTCCACTCTCAAATTTCAGCACTCTCTCAAGACCAGCACAGAGGACCCTAGAGGAAACAGGTGCTGCAGGCCAGGGAACTCTGGAGGAGTAGAAAGTGCAGGTCTAGCACACTTTCTGACAGCACTCGACACACATTTTGGAGAGGTTTGTCTAGTGCAAGTGGAACGAGGCAGAACTCTCAAATTTTCGAGAGTCTAGTGTAGTGGAGCGAGATCCATATCTTTCTTCGGGCCTCGCCGCACCAATGTTGAAACCGTGGAAAATTCGAAACTATCAGACCATTTTCGACATTCACGGTTTCTACACAAAGGCCGCCTTCGCCACAGGGTATGTTGAAGACCCAGGATAAAGGGAAAAAGAAAAGAGAAAAAAGAAGAAGAAGAAGACACGAGATGTTGAGGCCGCTCCCTGAAAGATGTTGAAATCCACACATTTTTTCACAAGTTCCCTTTCGAGGTTTCCAGTTGGAAACGGCT